TTTTTTTTTTTATAGAGACAGAGTTTCACTTTATTGCCCATGGTAGAGTGCTGTGGTGTCACCCAGCTCACAGCAACCTCCAACTCCTGGCCTTAGGTGCTTCCGTTGTCTCAGCCTCCCCAGTAGCTGATATTTATTTTTTTTAAAGACAGAGTGTCAAGCTGTGGCCCTGGGTAGAGTGCTGTGGCGTAACAGCTCATAGCAACTTCAGACTCTTGGACTTAAGCAATTTTCTTGTCTCAGCCTCCCAAATAGCTGGGACTACATGTGCCCAGCAGAACACCTTTATTTTTTTCTTGTTGCAGTTGTCATTGTTTTAGCTGACCCAAGCTGGGTTTAAACCTGCCAGCCCCAGTGTATGTGGCTGGCATCCTACCTAACACCAGCTACAGGTGCTGCCAGTGAATTGCTAACTATTCTGCCATAAGTTTTACTTATGAGTGCTTGTTACTTATGTCCTTCTTAGGGGGAAAGTGGGGTTGTTTATTTCTATGTTGAAAGCTGTTAATTCTTTGGGTCATCAATGAGACAAAACCAGACCTACTGATCTCCACCTTCATCAAAAAAAAAAAATTAAAAATTAAAATAATAGGATTTATTGCTCTGTAGAAACGTGATTTGGGGGGGGGGTTGGTTTGTTTCGTTTTTGAGACAATGTCACTTTGTCACCCTCGATAGAGTACTGTTGCGGCATAGGTCATAGCAACTTCAAATTCTTGGGTTCAAGAGATTCTCTTGCCTCAGCCTCCTGGGACTCAGTAGCTGGGACTGCAGGTGCCCACCAGAAAGCTCAGCTATTTTTAGAGATGGGGGTCTTAATCTGCCTCAGGTTGGTCTAAAACCCATGAGCTCAGGCAGTCCACCCACCTCATCTCCCAGAGTGCTAGGATTACTGGCATGAGCCACTGCGCCTGGCCAATGATTATTTTCTACAAAAAAAGCTTACTAGCCTCAACAACTTAGCAAGACCACATCTCTACAAAAATTAGAAAAATTAGCCGGGCACTGTGGTGTGTACCTGTAGTCCCAGCTAATCAGGGGGCTAAGGCAGGAAGATTGCTTGAGCCCAGGAGTTTGAGGCTGCAGTGAGAACTGGTGAACTTTAATTTTTTACCAGTGAATTAGTCACAGATCAACTAGGAGGGCATGACATTGCAAATAGTTTATTTGGTGAAACAAAATACGTTCCTGTGGTCATGGAAATTAATTCATGGGTCTTTTCTCATGAGTGTGGTGAGTTTTAGGTTTGGATGGACTTTCCCAAAGCAAGACACCCCTTAGTGAGCCCTTCTCTGTGGTCTAAACTACTTACTCTGGACATATCTAGCCTCTGTGCTCACTCCATGGGTCACAGCCATTCCTGAGGAGCTGGGGCCCAGGGCTGCTATACAGAGCATAGAGTACCTTCTGTCATGAGACAGACTATTAGCCACAACTCTGCAGCACCTTTAGTCTCTCAGACTAATCTGGGAAAGTATGTATATGTATGTATACCTTTCTTTTGTCTTCCAGTCCATGAACCAGTTCGAATTGCCTATGACAGACCTCGGGGTCGTCCAATGTCCAAAAAGAAGGTGAGTTTAATTATTTGTAAGCTTTCAAGGTATAGTTGGTTAGAATTTTTTTGAGTTTTAAAGGATGCTGCAGCTTGTGGTTAAGTTATACTTGTATTTCAGAATGAGGTGTTAATGTAGAAAACACAACAAGCAGAGATTTTTCCCTTAGGGGATTTTAAAAAATTACTTGGTGTTAGGCTGGGTCCAGTGGCTTATGGCTATAATCCTAGCACTCTTGGGAGGCCAAAGCAGGTGGATTGCTTGAGCTCAGGAGTTGAAGACCAGCCACAGCAAGACTGAGAACCCGTCTCTACTGAAAATAGAAAAATTAGCTAGGCATTGTGGAGGGTGCCTGTAGTCCCAGCTCCTTGGGAGACTGAGGCAAGAGGATTGCTCAAACCCAAGAATTTGATGCTTCTCAACCTTTTGGCTAAGATCAAGAATGAGTGAAGAATTTGAGGTTGCTGTGAGCAATGATGACATCACAGTACTCTACCCAGGGCAAAAGTGAGATTGTCTCCGAAAAAAAAAAAAAATCTTTGGCTTTTGTCCAAAACCTAAGAGGGTGGTGATTAGTCCATTGAAAAGATAATTGAGGCCTGATGTATGCAATGGGGTTCAAGAAATAAACAAGTTAATGTCTTAGTTATTAAGAAGTTCAAGTCTAGGGGACTGTAGTTGTGGTTAAGAGAGTGTACTACTCTGCTAGTAAGCAGAGAATGGCGTGTGTTCATTCATTGGTCAGCACTTCCTATGTGCCAGGTCCTAACTGCCCACCAGGAGGCAGCAATGAGCTGGACTCACAGAGACAGAGAAAAAGGTGACTCAGTAGGGGTGCTGTGGGCAAGGAAAAGGAGGTCAAGGGCAGGGGGAAGAAGTTGGTAGAGATGTTGCTGAGGCCAGGGAAGGTCTCTCTGGCAGGTGATACTGGCCTAGGCCTGGAAGAGGGGAGGAGGAGCTATGTGGAGATCTTGGGAGAGCAAGGCCTGGGCAGAGGCCCAGGAAAGCAAGAGGCACTTGTGACAAGAGTGGAATTGGGGGAACAAGGGCTTAGGCCACATAAGGACTAGACAGAAATCAACCCCCTTAGCTCAGCACCTGTAGCACAGTAGTTATAGTGCCAGCCACATTTACCAAGGGTGGCGAGTTTATATCTGGCCTAGGCCAGCTAAACAACAATGACAACTGCAACAAAAAATGGCCAGACTTTGTGGCAGGCGCCTGTAGTCCCAGCTACGTAGGAGGCTGTGGCAAGAGAATTGCTTGGGAAGGTCCTCAGGGACTCATGGCAGAGGTTTGGGCAGAAGATGTGGTCACTCTGGTGAAGGATAGCTGTGAGGTAGGGGCCTAGAGAGAGCAGGGGACCTGGAGGAAGCTCAGACTTAAGGCATTTAGACCAGGGCATGCAGAGGTGGTGAAAAAGGCTGAAGGTGGAATCTGTGAAACTCACCACAGAGCTGAGGTTGGAAGGGCAAACACCAGGAGTCTAGGTGGCCAGCCAGGGTCATTGGCCTAAGCAGTTAGGAGAATAGAGCTTCAGTTTGTTGAAATGGGGGCAGGTCATTTGGAAGGAACAGGTGCACTCCAAATGACCAGGGACACACGTTGGGGGCAGTTGAGGCTGTGTGATATCACCTGAGATACCTGTGGAAAGAATTTTGGTCAGGGAGAAGGGCAGGAAGCCAGATGAGGTTTCTCTGCTAGTGTAAGGTGACCAGATTTTAACATTGGTAAAGCGGGACACCATTGACCGGAGGTGGGGGTGGGGGTGGAGATCTTAATTAAAAATTTGGTCTATATGGAGCAACAAAAATTTTCATAGAACGCAAAAATAGTATTGTAATATATTTTTTTAAATTTCAACATAAGTACAATTTACAAATATAATACATTTAAAAAATTATGTATAGTATTATTTTATTCTTTGGCATATTTCTCATTCGAGTGATTTTTTTTAGTAGATTGCTGTCGTTGTTTAAAAGGTCATGAAATTTTTCACAAGAATTTGTTAAATTATATTTCACACATAAAATGGCTTTCAAAGTCTCAACACTTAATTGTGATTTTTCTGATGTGCACACTTTATTTACTGTAGGAAAAAACACGTTCAGTTGCAGCATT